TAATATCTGTATATGATAGAATATTATTATTTAGGTTGATAGAAGATATGTTTTCGTTATTTTAGAAATATGATACATTGGGATTTGTAAGGTGAGGTAATTATTACACGAACAGCTCAAATACCCTTGTCTCCCTAATAAAGCAGCAAATTTTTTACAATATGTTATTTTTTCTTTGTTATTTTTTACTTGATCAACTTTAATCAAATTTGATGTGGCCAGTTGCAAAATTGAAAAAATATTAAATACTATATATTGGTACTGTTATTTATTAATGATGATTAATTTGCTGAACAATTTTGACGAATTTTTTATAACGAAAATGGTTAATCAAGTGAAATGTGTTAACAGAATTTCAAATAATGATAATTAACTTTTAATTAGTTCTGTTATTTTTTAATAATGATAAGGGTGGTGTTTAACAAGTTGTCTCAAAAATAATAAATGTTAGTTAACTATTGTTGTTAATTAATTATGTTAGACAAAAGCTAGACATGAATGCACAGGCGGTTATATAGAACATTGAAAAAAAAAAAAAAAATATTAATGTCATAAATCTAATATAAATTGAATGACTTTAAATTGTTATAAAATGTCTTCTTCGGGTAAGACATTATGTTTAAATATTTTAAGTGTTTACAGGTTAAATAAAATAAAGTGAAATGTTATATAATAGTCCAAGGGGTTCAATATTTAGGATACCTAATTTTAATAAAAATAATGTTAAGTCAGGTGTTGAAAAAATCAAAGCTATAAATGACTTACCTACTACAAAAAACATTGAGACCCAATTATATTCAAGTATTCAAATCGAATAAGTAAAAAAAAGGGTAAAAAAATGCAAAAAATTAATTTGGTCCCACCGAGATTCGAACTCGGATTGCTGGATTCAAAGTCCAGAGTGCTAACCCTTACACCATGGTACCCTTGTGTATGTAATATAACAAATATACTATTTAAACCCCAATGATCGTAAGAATAAAACTGATATAAAAGTAGATATCAGTAGTAAATTAATTAGATTTACATAGATAAATTATAATAATTAATGTTCTATAGGTATAATATATTATAATTCTCCCACAGGAAATGCAAATTTAGTGTTTAAAAGAAAAAAAACCCTTAGAAAACCTGAATCTGGTAAATAATTTGATAATAAGAAACGAAATTTTTGTTTGTTTTACATTGATATATTAAATTTCTTTCCCCCTAATTTACGAAAATTTACAAAATGTATTATTTTCAATTTTGTGCTCTGTTGTAATTCAGTTTAAAATATTTATAGATACTCAAAATTCGGAAAAAAAACTTATGTTTGTCATTTCGAAATGTGATAAGATTTTCAAAACATTTTACCAATTTTTCAGTTGTTTATAGACATTTTACTTTTAAAAATTGTTTACTTAATTTTTATTCGGTACCTATAGTTAGATCAAACATAACAGCCGGTTCAAAACAAGTCGTACTTTGTAATAAAAAAAAAATAATTGAGTGTAATACACAAATATATAAACATAATAGATGGTAGACGACCATTTGTCTTCTTGATGCTATCGAATGTGTGTCTGTGGCAGCCATCAATGCAAAATCGATAACGAATGAGTATAATGTGTCACATGTGTCATTTTCAACTATCTTTCTATCCCAAATCCTTTTTTATAATCCGTATTCTAACTGACCATACCTATTAAAATTCTCTTTTCCAATTATATTAGTTGTAGATCCGAAGACGGGCTGTTATATTCGACATAGTTATTCTTATATACCCAGCTGCGTATGTTACACTGCATTGCTACACATTTAAAGTTGGATGCTTTCTATAGTGCCCCGCTCAAGGACTTATATTACACAACTCAAACAATTTAATACCAGCGATTACAGCGGTGATCAAAGTTCTTTGTTCTAAAATTTTGATCGAATTTGATATAGATTATTATATTTGTCTATACATCTGAAAAAGTGGCCAACAAAACCACACTTTATATTTCAGGTACTCTGGTTTACTTCGGGTAATTTGTAAAAGTTTACATATTGCAAAGATTACATTTCCATATTTATTTAAACATACACTAATACAGAATAGGACGGTACTCGGACAACACACAATAATAACTCGTATTATGCGGTTTGTTTATAGTATATATATTATTATAATTTAGCAAACAGTCTCCAGGAGCATAGTTATGCATTTTTTACGGTGGTGGGAGGGGTAGAGGGTAGATACCTTTTTAGGTAAACGTAAAGTGAGTGGATTCAGATATTTTTAATATGAGTACACATTGATACAATAATAATTTGCACCCTCAGACTCTTTGGCAAGCAAATAATGTGCATAATGGAAAATGCTTGTTAAGCACTAAAAACAGAAAACAAAAATAAATTATAATTATTCATAACACATTATCTATTTCTCGAGACCTTCTAGCTGGTTCGTCTATTATATTATCTCTTCGGTTTCGAGTGTTATATTTTTATGTGCTGCCAACATGGCGAATAATTTCAAACGATTATTTTTTATAACAAATAATAGTTAATTATAAATAAAATGTAATATAATATTTATTTAAACAATTTTGCTGAGCGAACAGTTAGCAACACCTGACCTAAACTAAATCAAGCAATGGTGTTCACGGCAATTGATGGCATTTAATAAGAATAATTACTTTATAGCGATCAATAAATTTACGGCGCCTACAAATATAATTTTCGCTTTACCAAAACACAGCTAACGAAATAGGAAAAAACCATTCGAAAATTCTAGTCAACAATGAAGAAGTTATAAATTAATTTGATATACCCGTCTAAAAGGATCACCTTATTCAATTTTATCTGACAATGCAATAATCAAAGCTCTTCACGAAATAGGAATCTGAACCACGTCAGTAGTATTCCTACTAAAATTAGCTAGCACTTCAGAATGAAGTTGAATTGCTGCTGGAACGGTGTGTTGATCCAGTCTTTTCTTATGTTTGCGGAAAAACTTGGTAATCTCGTCCTGGATGAAGGTGATCATCATGACTGGACATCATCAAGGTGACTTACATATTTCATACAAATTAAGAATTTATAAGAAAAAACATTATCACTTTGCAATGAAGCTACCAAGTTTTTCCGCAAACATAAGAAAAGACTGGATCAACACACCGATCCAGCAGCAATTCAACTACTAGACAACTCTCTAGACATTAGGCGTCTCAAACGTCAAAAACTATATGACATATCTTTATTACAGATGACACATTAACATGTCCATTGTAAACAAAGTGTTCACATATTTACAACATGCAGATACAATATTGAAAGTAATTAAAAAAAACAGCCAAACTACTCAATTAGATCCTGACACTCACTTCGAATATCCTCCTCACCACAAAGTTCACTTACAGAAATTGATATAAATAACCCAACTAATGCAGAAATATCAACAAATCAAAACAACCAAGAACACCCTATTAAAATATTCCCAGTCTTTACCTCATCAGACCCAATAAATGAAAACAGTAACTAACCATAACAACAAAGATAAATCCAATAATGAAGTCATTAAAGAAATACAAGTTGTGGAATTGAAATATACTTAAAAAATAATATCATCAATAAAGAAATATACTTTAAATCATTTTTAGAAGTAATAGCAATCCGGGGCATTCTCCAAACAACAATAACTATGTCAAGTTTCTAACTATGTCTTTGATCTCGAACAGTTAAAGTGGATGCAGTCATCGTTGCCACTGGATCGGTCCTAAGGTCACACCCTGTAGTCCGGATTAATCGAGCATCTTATTAGCTTCCACGGTCGTCTGTATTATTAAGTTGTAGAATACATTGTCGCTTAACGACCTTGCATAAAATTAATTTTCACAAGTTATCAACTTTATCCTCACTTCTTATTATTAGTACTTTTTATTTTATTTACCAGTCTTTTTTGTTGTTGTTCGTTGTGTGACGAGAAGGCGTCCGTGCCTGTATATATTAAACCGTGTACATACCTTATACAAAATAAACAGCCTCACGTCGAAGAAGCTTATGGTGGTTTTTTGTGGGCAACTTTTCTACCTGAGAACTTGATCTAATTCTTACGCGTAGTACCATTTAAGGAAATCTGACTTGATAGGTACTTTAAAGGTCATTTTTCAAATGTCTAAGTGTTTTCCCGGAAAATATTTAAAAATGTGAAATCAGTATTTATTTAAAATAAATATGATTGATTTATCTCGATTAGATTTGTAAATTTGTCTCCTTTTGATCGGGGAGATAGATTTGAAAATTAATGTTAACAAGTTTAGTAATTTTGGTTTTAGTTCTTCTGTGTAGTCTCACGCTAGCCGTCGTCCAGTGCACACCTGCCGCGCTACGTTGTGCTTATCTCACCGCGTATTGTTATTTTTAGCCTTTCTAGTCTCAATCGCATTTAATTAATGTAAATAACGTCCAACTCGTGCCGGATGCCGTATCGGCTATCAGAAGGCTATCAGAAGGCCGACTCGGCCAAAGCCGCCTTATCTATTTATTAGGTAATTAATTAAATAAATATAAATTTATAAACATGCCGTCAACTGGTAATACCAAACCCAACAATTTAATCTCTCCGATTAAACTCATTAACAAAAATATCATACAATCGTCAGACTCAAGCTTTTTACCGTCAAATGATAATTTCAGCAACAACTGGCAAAGTCAAAAAACTTAATTTAGCATTCTCGAATGAACAGCCGAACTGAACGCACGCGTTTTCCTTATCGCCTCCCATGTTCAAAGTAAATCACCTTAATTTCATCAGAATTAGTCGTGCTTACTACCAATCTATTCAGTTTTTCTTTTTATATACCAAACCACCGCATCCCGGAGATTTTTATAAATCCCCTTCGAGAAAAAGTAAAAAAGGTAATTAAATATTTACTAACTACACACAGTGTATGATATACACTATTATTATCGCTTCTCCAAGACATCGCCGCCCGCGGTGACCTTTGGACTCCGATTAGATAAATAATAGCATCATGCCGACCGGCTCGCAGTCAAATAATGATAAAACTGTACCTACAATTAAGATTGTCAATAATCGGATTGTAAACAAAAACACGAAACCAACACAATCAAACAACCGCTCACTAAGCAATACAAGTGATACAGTATTCAACGAAAATGATGAAAACGAACAAAGCTTTATCTCTGTCAAATCTTATAAACGAAATCTGTCCACAACTACCCTTAGCTCACCCGAACACAAAAAAACAAAACCCTTATTCGTATCATCAAACAGATTTGCCGCGCTCGAGATTCAAGAACCAAATACCAGTAAAGCAACACATACAAACGATGTATTAATGTCCGATAATAATAATGACAACAAGTACACGCAAAAAAATCGAGAACCTCTTCCTCCACCCATTTTCGCCAGAGGCATCGAAAACTTCACAAACGTAAAAGACGAAATCGTAAAATTAGTTTCTCCCGATAAATTTGTATTCAAATCCTCATCATTAAATTTAAAAATCCAAGTCGTAAAGCCAACTGCCTATCGTAAAGTTATTGAATTTTTCAAAAATAACAAAGCCGAGTACCACACATACCAAGCTAAAGAAGACAAAGCTTTTAGAATTGTAATCCGTAACCTCCACTCAACAACTTCAACCACTGACATTACAGAAGCACTTAATGAAATCGGATTCTCTGTAAGATAAGTATCTAACGTTATCCACAAGCAAACCAAAACACCAATGCCTCTGTTTTTTATAGACTTAGAACCCTCTCCTCTAAACACGGATATTTTTAAAATCGACCGATTACTTTACACCAAAATAAAAATTGAAGAGCCACACAAACATCGAGAAATAATTCAATGTCAGAATTGTCAAGAGTATGGGTACACAAAAAAATACTGCGCCTATCCATTCAGATGTGTCCGATGTGGGGACCATCATCCCTCAAATATATGCAAGAAACCACGAGATACTCCCGCCAAATGTGCCCTCTGCAATGGCGACCACCCGGCCAATTACAGAGGCTGCCGGATCCATAAACAACTCCAACAACTTCGTCAACCTAATCAGACATCGTATAACTTCGTATAATGTANCAAATATATGCAAGAATCCACGAGATACTCCCGCCAAATGTGCCCTCTGCAATGGCGACCACCTGGCCAATTACAGAGGCTGTCGGATCCATAAACAACTCCAACAACTTCGTCAACCTAATCAGACAAATCAAAACCGTAAATATGTAAACAACACTAATAATATAAATAACAAAAATAATGTAAATAGCTCAAGTGACTCAAATAATGTACAAATTAAGTCTACCCAGCAGATGACCTCCGAAAATACTTATTCTTTCATACCCCCCTCATATGCTAATGCAACCTCTAATTCAAACTCTCCCCCATCAACTCAAACTGAGTATTCACTTCTTACTAATTTCCTAAATGAATTCAAATCACTCATAAATCCGTTAATGTCATTATTAACAACTGTCCTCGATCAACTTATCTCCAATGCAAAATAATTCCTTCACATCTCAATCCTTAGTCATACTCCTTTGGAACTCAAATGGTCTTCAAAATCATAAAAATGAACTAGCTGCAACACTGCACGAGAAACGGATAGATATCGCCCTAATAGCCGAAATTCATTTCACCACCCGAACAAAATTCTCAATCCCAGGTTATCGCATCATCTCCACTCCACATCCCGACGACACCGCCCACGCTGGGGCTGGAATCATCATAAGATCCTCACTTCAGTTCCAACAAGAACCTCCAATACAAGAAGATTATATCCAAGCTGCTGTAATAAAATTAATAATTAAACACATCCCAATCACAATAGCTTCTGTATACTGCCCCCCAAAGCACAAAATCAATCTAACCCAATACGAACAATTCTTTATCGCCCTCGGCCATTACTTCATAGTTGGATGAGACCTAAACGCAAAAAATAAAGTATGGGGCTGTAGGTCAAACAACCCAAAGGGCGTCTCATTGTATAAAACTATCAATAAAAAATCATTTTCAATAATTAGTCCCCCTAATCCTACCTACTGGCCTACCTCCCCCCCAAAAAATCCCGATAGTTTAGAAATTTTTATAACTAACATACCAAAACAGCTATACTTCTTAATAGATAATCTATTCAACCCATGCTTAGATCATTCTCCAGTACTTTTAACTATCGATGCAACTCACCCCTTTCGCCCAACAAAATCGTCTCTTATCAATGGCATTATGAATTGGAAAAAATTCGAAGACGATATACAAAAACAAATCAATCTCAAAACTAAATTAAAATCCCCAGAAGATATAGAAGATGCGATCGAAAACCTGACTTCTCTAATACAACACTCAGCGTGGAACGCCTCCACTCCCATCCCTGCTAAACCAAAATCACTTAATTTACCTTCTTACGTACGAGACCTAATAGTCCAAAAAAGGAGAGCTCGTGCAGTCTGGCAAAATAATATACTTCCTTCTTATAAACAAATATATAACAATCTCAATGCTAAACTCAAACGCACTTTATCCAAAATAAGATCCGATTCCTTTTCCTCCTGGTCTGCATCTCTCGTTACAAAAAACGGATCCTTATGGAGAGCCACTCGTAACTGCCTTAAACAAAAAGTCGCTTCATATCCTCTAAAAAATAATGATAATACCTGGTGCACTTCCGACATAGGAAAACCTGAACTGTTCCGTACTCACTTAGCCTGTGTCTTCCAACCTCATCCCGACATTTTTAACCCACAATTCACAGAAGAAGTTAAAGACTTCTTAACAACTCCGCTTCCTGTATACTTGCCCCCCAAAGCTTTCTCTCCAAATGATATCTCCCGATGTATACTCTCATTTCCACTTCGAAAGTCTCCGGGTTTCGATTTAATAACCGCCGAAATAGCACGCCAACTCCCTAAAAAAGCCATTATATTCCTCACATACATAATAAACTCAATTCTTAGACTCACTTACTTCCCCCTACAATGGAAACTCTCAATCATTATCTTATTCCCCAAACCTGACAAACCAATCGAAAATACCTCCTCATACCGTCCTATCAGTCTTTTACCATTCTTTTCAAAACTATGTGAAAAACTTATCCTTAAACGCATTATGCCTATTATCAACGAAAAACATATACTACCTGACACTCAATTTGGATTCCGCAACTCCCATTCAACTATCCATCAAATCCACCGATTAGTCGATACCATCTCCCTAACACTAGAAAAAAAATACTACTGCCCCACGGTGTTCTTAGATGTTGCTCAAGCGTTCGATCGCGTATGGCATTCTGGCCTCCTATTCAAATTAAAACAATCTATTACCTCCACCTTACTACCTATTCCTCAAGTCTTACTTGGAAAATCGCCACTTCGCTACACGAGTAGGCATTGAAACTTCTGAAGTATCCCCAATTATTGCGGGAGTCCCTCAAGGCGCAATATTATCTCCGATCTTATTTAACATCTACTCAGCTGATCAACCAACAACCCCTAACACATCTGTAGCCGAATTCGCTGACGAAAAAGCTATCTTTACCACACATTCTGACCCAACCACTGCTTCAAACTACCTCCAAAACCACCTCAATCTACTATCCACCTGGTATACCAAGTGGAGAATCAAAAAGAAACCACGAGATACTCCCGCCAAATGTGCCCTCTGCAATGGCGACCACCCGGCCAATTACAGAGGCTGCCGGATCCATAAACAACTCCAACAACTTCGTCAATCCAATCAGACAAATCAAAACCGTAAATATGTAAACAACACTAATAATATAATTAACAAAAATAATGTAAATAGCTCAAGTGACTCAAATAACTGCACCAACGGCGAGCTAGTCGTCTAGGGGGATTTCCGGGAATAGTATTTGAGTTGAGATCTCTTATAAGAGGATTTGGATGGTTGACTAGGCGGGATCGGAATCGTTGGT